GGAATAAAACCGAACGAGCGTAAGTCTCGTCCACCCTACGTCTTATAGTGGCCCTGGGCTCACAGTTCTGCTTCTTCTGCTCAGCGCGACCTCTCTCTCGAGCTCGCATTGGCTCTCCTTGCCCTGCGACCTGTTGTCGCCGCCCAAGCTTTGCTCCTCAGCAACTGGTCTGGAACTTCACAGTTCTATGAACGAGCGTACGTGTGAGTCATGCCCGTCCTTCGTCTTGCGGTGACTCCGGGCTCACGGCTTTCTTTTCCTTCTGCTTAGTACGACCGTTTTCTTGAGTTGCGCATCGACATCGCGTCGGCTGGCTCCATCGGCGAGCACCGGCTTCGTCGGCTCTCCCTTTCGTGCGGCACATTCCAAGTATCGCTGCGAGATCATCGCCGCTTTTCTTTGAAGTGTTGTCAGCGTCCCCGTGGATAGGACCTCGGGTCGGCTCTCACATGTCACCTTCACGACGTCGCGCTCGACATTAGAGAACCCGTCAACGAGGACGACGGGCATTCTCTACCGGACAATCACCGAGGGCCCTCCCCGCGTTTCAGCCACAATACAACACAGCCGGTAATGCACAAGCACACCTCTGTTGTTCTCATTCACACTTTGACTTTTGCCGCAGGAACGTTCGATGACCATACCATCCAGACACGTGCCGCGATACAGGCGCCAACGTCCTTGTCTTCAACGATTACGGATTTCCGAGCTCTGTCGATGCTTCTCGGGCGTGCTTTGGCTATCCAGTGCGGCGACTTATCCATTATTCGACAGTTGGAGTACCCCGCTCGTTGACACTTTACGACAACAAGCATCGCCAGCAGAGCTACAAGGGACTTCCTGTCTTTGCGAGCCGCGCACGATATGTAACGCGTCATCGCCGATGCATGCATGCAACGTCAAGGCCAACCAATACGTGAAGTCCGGCAGCAAGCAGTGGCGATCGATCTGTTGGTACCGAGGGCACGTTCTACGAGACATCCGGTGGGCTACCGGTGTTGGGCATCAGAGACGGGCGGCGACGAATGAACATAGCCGTAGTCGGCGGGAGAGCAAGGAGAGCTCGCGAAGCGTTGGTGTCTGGAGACTGGCGCTCTCCCGAGAATTGGGACCATCCAAGCAGCGCCTGACTCGCACCGCCACCCACGATGCCCGAGTGCACTCGCGTAGGAGGTCTCGGTGGATTTCCATTTGTGGACAGCGCCGGTCTTGTACTCGGTGCGAGGCCTGACAACACCATCGAATGGAGCGGTGACTGGCCGCTTAGCACACGTCATTCCCCATATTGTGTATCCTTCCCGAGTCTATGACTACACCACAAGTAGACGGTATTCGCCATCTCTGATGTGATATTCCAACATTTACTCTGCGTCTAGAGTCGGTTCTGAGGGGAAATATTGTGTTGCACGATATGGCCATCTTCTCTCTGTGTCGATCCAAGTTAGTAGGTGGCCGTACGGGTTCGTCTGAGCACCGGGGAGCGAGATCCGGTGCGGAGCTAGGTGGGCGACCCGGCGCATTACATGCCGACACTCACGCGCATTTCGAAATGTTCAGTCAACTACTCCGCATGACCGATACATACCTACTCGGGAACATAGACTAAGTGGCGATGAACTCCGAAAGCTTCGTACGTCTTGCAGGACTGCTCAGAGCATTGTGTACAAGGCTTGGGCGGTGCTTGGCCGATTATTCACGGTCATACAGGAAACGAGTTCCCGCGGATCCTAGCGCCCGCGTCCAAGCAGTAATTAATTGTTTCAGAAAGCGCAGGATTAAGGCTGCGGACCGGAAAAGCGAAACATGATACTTAACGGGCTCGCTCGCGCAGTGCGTGCAGCTGCCTCACCTTTCCCGTGGCCTACGCCTGTCCATTGACTATGACGCGCAAGAAGAACTCCTCCGCTTCACACAAACGTGGTCGCCCGACAAAGCTTGGACCGGCCCAATGCGCACACTGCAACGACAGACAGCCTCTCTACAACGGGAAACGCGACGACAGAAAGACGACCCAAAGAATCATGTCCGAATTCCTCGACTCCGAAACCGTGCTGTTCTTCTCCGTCTTTGGATGGGTCAACCCTCTGCGTTCATTCAACCACATCAATGTTGAACCGAGCGCGGAAGATATTTCCGCGCGCAAGGCAGAGGCGGAGGAAGCCAGGAAACAGGCCAAGAGCGACGCTGGGAGCGACGTGCACAAGAAGCGGGATAAGTTGGTCAAGTATGTGCGCACGGTGAGCATCACAAACACATGTATACCTGCTGGTAATTGAAATGATACTATATTGTGTAGCTCTTGGCGCAGCGATTCGCAAACAAATACGCTGGCCGCGACAAGAAGGCCACCGTTATGCCGAATAACACGGCGGCCCCGGCCAACAGCTCTGGCTCCGGCTCCGATATTCTCAAGCTCCTTTTCAAATTTCTGGAACGGCCAAGCCCTAAGCATCTTTGCAAGGTCTGGGCGAATTCACAACCTGGCTTCGAAGCAGAAGTGGACCGAAGACTCCCAGAGGTACGATCGGAGAAGGGGAACCCCAATTACGCGCGCATTGGGCTCTGGAACACGATGGCTCGCTGCGGCTATGAGGAGAGTAGTGAAGCAGAGAAGGAGCAAACCTTCAGGAAAGCGCAGGATATGTTGGAGAGAGAGATGAAGAGCTGGAGGGCCGGTCTGGCTCTGCCGGAGACAATAGAGGAGGGGATCAGGTGAGCATGACGTTCAGATTCGCTTGTCAAACACCTCCTGACAGCCACTTCCGAAGCTTCATGGTAACAGCGCAACCTTTCTTAGAGGAGCTCATGCAATTCTTCGCGGACCGCTGTGGCGGCATGGCTGTCATGATCCTGGCTGGTTCAGGGAATGTTGTGTTGTGCGTACGTGATCGTTCGTGCGCATGCTATTTCTCATGCGTGCCAGGTCGCAAGGAACATGCGATATAGCTGGAAAACCGAAGATCCTCTATGGCGATATTGAGGGCGAGCGACCGCTACTGAGAGGACTGGCTCAACGGGTTCACACACAAGCGTGCCTGGTCTCCGGTAAGCCGAGAATCACATATTCTTTGACGAAGGTTGAACACCAGTCAGAGTCCAGATGGGGCGTTTCTCTCGCGCGCCGCGCGCCATCCACACCCTGTCATGTCGAAGCAAATAAGGACACGAGTGCTACAGAGGGCACGCAAGACACACCTTTACCTTCGCTGATTAGTCCTTACGCTGCGGCCTCAATCACACCAATTCATCTGGAGGACGACGACGGCGAGGAAGGGGACGACTGTGACGCAACCGTAGCTATTGGTGTAGCGACCTCCCGACCACACAAGGCAACTGCTTTGACTGTGTCCCCCGCCGTAGAAAGTGTAGACGACTCAGTACGCTTACAGTTCGATGGCGATGACGCTGGCTTGGCCGACGAGAGCTATCTAGGCCCCATGTGGTCAGGGATCGACATAGTCGCCGACGAGGCTTGCTCTGTTGCTCGAGAAACGGAGAGCGCGCGTGCGACAGTGGACGTGAATGCCGTTTGGGTGAATACGGACGCGAGTGCAGAGGCCTGGCCCGGCGTCGAAGCATCTTCTGGCGCGCATGTCGTGGTTGTGGACGAACATGAACCGCCGCATCCCCCAAGACCCCGCCCAAAGGCTAGACGGCATGCGACTCGAACAGATCCGGCGGCCCCTACGAGCCCAGTCTCGACGTCCTCCGATACAGTTCAATCCGGCATGGGCATCGAAATAAACGCCGCGCCCCTTACGGGAAGGACCGCACCGTTGGCTTGTATGACTGAGAAGCCAAATTGCATAACAGCGTCAGGTGACAGCGTCGTCAATAGCTTCGACGCCGGACGGGTAGATGAGGATGCCAATACGCCAGTTCCTCGGCCGACGGGCATCGCACAAGAGAATAGGCCATCGATATTCACGTTCCAACAGAGCACTCGTCATTCTCTTTCAAGCGATGAGGCAGTAAGTTCACATAAACGGCAGTTCAGGACCCGTACTAACACGCATATTGCTGAAGGCTTACACGAGAGGCGTCGCTAAAGACGGGGCAGAGCTTGAGAGGAGAAAGCCGTGGTTTGCTGGAAGGGGAATGACCGCCTTTTTCCTCGCTGTCCCACAGAAGCTGAAGGAGAGGGTCAATCTTGAGGTTGCCTTTGACATGGTACGCGCGTACTTGACGTTTGAATCGAGCAACGCGGTGAGTATCGCGGTTCGCATAAAACACAGGCACGCGCTGACTTCCGGAGCTAGGCGGAAGGGACGCTTAATGTACGGAGATACGTGGCCAATGGCCAGCCGCAGCCAGAGTACGTTGCGTCGCTTCAGCAGAAGAGCATAGCCAAGATAACGAGGGTTACGTGGAGCAAGATGGCTCAACCAGGCATGCGTCGCATGCCTGCCGAACTAGACGTGGATGTCGGAGTGTCCCTAGCACAGCAATGGATTCATCAACAACCCGATGCGCGTCGTACAGGGGATGGGAGGTTGAGCAACGAGGCTCACACTGAGATGAACTGGGAGAAGCGCCTTACGCCTGGTCCGTTGGGAGTGAGGCTTCTGGTGCAGACTTTGCTTTGTTGGGGATCGAAGATCGACACAGAGGCGAGGTTGGAAAGGGTGGAGTGGGAAAAGTTGGCGCGGGACTTCGCGGACGTCATGGCGCTTTTAGCTTGTCAGGCGGGCCCCTACGAGATGCCGGCGACGGACGAAGGAGCGACGGACGTCGGAAAGCGTATCAAGTAAGCCATCTCGTTGTAAATCGCTGAGTCCCGCGACTAAACAGGTCCTAGAAAAGCTACGGAAAAGGCCGCCCAGATGTTAGCGAGCAAGATATGCGAGAGAAATCCGTGATGTACGGTCGTGAGCGTAGTGAGACCGTGGCTCTTGCAATACATGCCAACTCTGTTGTGCGTTGAAAAGGCGTCCAATTGACATGGATGTAAGAGGTCATGGAGAAGTTTGGAGGCGTTTTCTGCGTGCCGGACCGCATTGCGCACGGGGCGTCGGACATTGCCGGTGAATCTTTGTTGCTGACGCGAGCAAACGCTATCAGCTCTCCTGTCTCAACGAGCTTTCTGACCCCGGGATCCCAAGTGAGAAGCCCGGCTTCTACTTGACTGTATCCACGCATGACGGCCCTCTCGCGCGCTCGGTATTGCTGAACAGTTTTCCATCAGTGGTCCTGAGACAGAACGAAGAGCGCTCCTTAGGCTAGTAGAAGTCTGTTCGAATTCATCCGTGGTATCCCGGTACAAAGATGTCGCCCAATCTGCCTCTGTACTCCCGGGTGCTGCTGACGGTAAAGAAAGGTTAATGCTGTCTTCTGGCTGCGAATGCTTCAATGTCCCCCGGGGATGCGGGGACTGCCTTTAGATTAAGTATGCGCCGCCTCATGCGAATCCGGATGCACCCGACCGATGTGAAACCGATCACATTCCGGATAGGAGACTGCTGTTGCTTATACAACGGATACCGCCATCGCACTTCTTGGGCGCCAGCATCTATCATAGTCCTCAGTGCGTGTATTCGGGTACTGGCAGACCACGCAGCATGACTATGATGCACACGATTCGGGACCGGGCCGTAACATCTAATTTCACGGCCGACATTTTCATCAAGGCGTCTCCGGAACCCTCGGTCAACCAACCTATGGGAAAGGCGTCTCGCGAGCTGATAGTGGTCTACCACACAACGCAGTTTGTCATTTGTTCTGCGGATGTCTTACTCCTGTCCTGACGCTTTCAACCAGCTCTCAGGGCGCTTTTGGGGCGCTTCATGTCTGTGTTGTCCGCAGGCTAAGCCGCCTCTGGATACAACCACCGCCATCACCGGTGTAAGGCTCGTTTGGAATGAGCGAGCGCATCAACATCAACATCCGGCGACCGATCAAATGCTTCGTCCATACGCGGAACGCTACCTTTTGCCACCTACCATCAGCCTTTTCTGCGCTCGCCGGTCTCTGCTATACAGCCGGTCTCTGCTATACAAACAATGAGCTACAATGTGGTCATCTTGGACAGTTGGCGAAATCGTCTTCTCACCGCCAAGTTACGAGAACTCTATAGCGGCAAATCTAGCGAAGAACGCATGCAGATCCAGGCGTCCCGCTTCGTGTCCATATGCCTCAGACTGGCGCGCGTGGACACGTTGGAGCTCGCCAAAAGGGCTTACGAGCTCCTCATCAAAGAAACGGTAAGTGGACCAGGCCTGGCTGTTGCTGTACACTCCTGAGATGAATCATAGAATCACGTGCGGAACGATGTTGATCCAACCATAAGCACAGTGTTGCAACTCATATTCGACCAAGCTGGCCCGCCGGAGGAGTTGACTGACTGGAGAATACTGCGCGATGTCGTCGACACGGTCGTGCATCAGCCGGAGGTAACAAAGATTCATGAGTGGTTCGGAGACCATCAGTGGTGGGACTACGTTGGTACGTACCTAGTTCGTCGCGTCTTACACAGCTCAATCTCATGCATCCTCTGTCTCGCAAACAACAGCTCAGGTTCCGGAGGGTGATGTGGACGGTGTCAGCGTTAACGTGGGTCCTTCGCGTATCTTGGCACCGTCGCATCTCTTGCAACTCACCAATAAGAATGGCATCGCCAACGCCCCTTTCATGAGCCTGTCTAGACACAAGGCCGACGATGATCCTCGCGTGCGAAGTGGGGGGTCAGTCAAGGAATCTGTGACAAAAGCAGGATCTTCGACTTCACCCTATCCGGGACATGTCCCTGCTGACCTGAACTTTGTCGCAGAGGAGCGCGACGGCCTGGGCACCGATGACAACACCGGTCACCATCGGACTCTAGAGTCACTGCCGCCGTCTCAGGTCTGCCCCCGGAAGCGTCCAAGTAGGCGACGTGCGAATTCACATCGCAGCTCAAAGGCTCCGAATTCACCTCAAGTTCCCGCATCCCCCTCCTTCCACGTCGCAGTCGATGGGGCTGAGCACAACAACTCGAACGCTGAAGGAGACTCTGTCCGACCGGATGGCAAATTTTTCAGTTCAGTGGCTGTCATTGCCTCGAGTGACGAAGGCACAGACTCAACTCCGACGATGCCACTTCAGAGACCGACGGTGAAGGCTAAACCAAGGTCAAAGTCGCAGGCCCCGTCGACAATAACAACGCGTGTACGAAACCCGTCCACATGGTATGTGCGCGGCATTCGGTTTCTTCCGAATCGTCCGGCGGTGCACGTCCTCGATCTCCTTGAACCGGGGAAATACCTGGATCTCTTCAGCCTATTTCAGCTGCCACAAATGCATGGCATACGCGAAGCTGATCTGGCTGAGTATACGGTCCGTATGTTGTGTGGTTAGCTGAACCGTATACTGATGCGCTCCATAGGTGCCCTGCAAGTCTTGTCATAGGGAGCGCTTGAATTGCATATTCAGACCTGGCAAAATCTCCATTGGTGGCGCCTGTTTGGCTTGCTACTATAAACAGGTTGGATGTTCGGCGGGAAACCAGAAGATCACGCTTGGCGACAATGTCTGTTTCCGTCATCCCAGCGGGTTCCGAGGTTCAACGCCGGAACTAAGGGTACCCGAGCTGCACGTCCGCGCGAGTTTCCTGCAGAGCCTCGTCAACGACGGGCACCTCAAAGAGTGGCCGAACTTCATAGATAATGATGGTGGGCTATCTAGATGTGTTCGGGTTACAAACTTGTGCTGACCGGGACAAGGTCAAATCAATCACAAGGACTTTGCGAAGGACCCAGCATTTGATGTCGATGAATCCCAGTCACTGTACTTTCAGGTGTCTCCTTTCCACGCCTCAGACGAAGATTATTACTCGGTTCACCCTCGTTATCACGAGACAAACGCATCTAGCATCAAGGCGGAGGAGTTTGAGTCAATTTTAGAGGATGGTACGGACCTGTACACTTTCGATGGCGCTCCGCCCAGCGTGGGTGCCGGCCGTGAAATGACAGAACGGGGAATCGGTGAGGGGTGGGGTGTGCAGGCAGATGCGGATGTGGAGGTAGATGCAGATGCAGAGGTGGGGGTAAAGGAAAAGGCGGAGGCGGAGGCAGTGGATGTCGATGTGGATGCGAGTGTGACTTTGGAGGAGCATGCAGGCCGGGGAGCAGGCGTGGAAGCTATGCCGTATCTACAGACGAAGGATGCCAATCGCGACCGGGGGCGAGACGTGAACCTGAGTATAGACCAGGAGCAGGAATGGAGGCAAGGCGCTGAGACGAGGCCGACGCCCGTCAATCACATGTGGCGTGAGTACACAACGTCGTTGTCGTTATCTTTCACACACTAAGTCCTTCATCAGCATCCACGGACGTTCACCATGTGCTCCTGTCAATCAGAGACTCCGTCTGTAGGATGCATGAGCGTATCGACCGCATTGAAATAGCATTGGGTACAGCCGACACGCCCAGGAGCGATGACTCACTGGAGAGGTGACGACCGGCAACGTCACGCGGAGGATGTCCTGGTTCTTCCGGCACTGTCAGTGAAACGCGTCTAGCGACGCCGAGCAAGGCCGTCCACCAGATTTTTCCGTCTAACCAGGCGAACGACCTCAATGACCAGACGAACGAGGGTTTGACTCCGGGCCGCAGTGCCGTTGATATTTCTGAGCCTTCTACGGATCAAACGTCATCCTTTGAAGCTACAACGGAGGCCCATATCCAGTCCAGAGGAGCGTTGCCAGGCAACGCATCCCGCATGTCAATATCCTCTATCCTCTCTCCGATGGCCGACAACGATCGTCTTCCTACGTCATCATACGTAGCACCATCCACAATCTCACCATCCACAATCAATCCTAAGATTCTGCCGGAAAGGCCTGGAGGTCTTTCACGCGGTCCATGCACTCACTTGAGTCGCGAACGCCAGCCGATTCTCTGTGGATCCCACGAACACCAAACTCGAGCGTGTGCGGAAGCCACAACATCTGCCGACATGCCCTTTGATTCGCTCGCGAAGGCGCCGCGACCGGGCTCACGCTCTACTCACCACCACGTTGCTGCCCGACATAGAGAAAGCCCCGAGTACGAAGAAAGAACCCCGCATATCGCGTTCGCTCCAGCATCCGGCTTAGGCACAGAAGATCCTCATTCGTCCCCTCACGGCGATGCGTTTTCAAATGCTCAGGTGGCATCGGCCCGGACACAAGTTGGGGGGAATGTTTCGCCGCATCCGAAGCCTGTACGGAACTCGCGATCTACCGACTCTGCACACAGGATGACGGTAACATGCCCGAAAATGGCTACCATCTCTGAGATCGAAGAAAACCAGTTCATCGACGAGAGCCAAGGGACGTCGCACCCTCAGGGAAGAACACGCGGAGGCGGTGTTGGGCGGAACACGAGAGGCAAAGCTACGAACGGAGAACCTGGCAGAGCAGGAGGGGTCAAAGCTCAAATTCAGATGGAGTCGGAGTTGACGGCACAAGCGTGGATAGACGCACAGGACGATACGATGATAGGGATGATGGACGATACGAGATTTGTGTTAGCGTCGGATGAGGAGGGCAAGGTTCCTCGAACCAGGCAGAGGATCAAGAAGAACGCAGCTGAGGTGGCCGCGGGCACTCTGCGCACGACCAGAAGTAGGGCATCTTCTGTCGAGCAGACAGAAATCGGCGATCGCCCGGTCGTTTCGCGTGCCACACGAAGCACGTCCTCCATCGCACAAGGAGAGACCCAAGCTGTTTTACACGCCACACAAAGTGCGGTGTTATCTACCGACACTGCCATGCACATTGTGCCTGAGTGTGACAATGGTAGACGCAAGCGAAAGACTACGCCTGTAGGAGACGCAGCCGATTCCGAGTCTCGCGCCGGTCAGCAAGTTTCGTTCAAGAGACCTCGCACACACACCAAATGCCGCTGAATCGTGTTACTGTCCACTAGTCGCTGTGTTATCAACTCTCCCCTACCTATAGGAATTGCGATGATTGTTATGGATGTAAAAGACTCCTTAGTATCTTCCGCCTTCGTCTCATCTACTTCAAGTTCGGTTGGACCTACGACCACACGCACTGGCAGCCATGGAGCTCCACCTATGTAGACATGGTATCCGAGGGGACTCTCAACGTAGCACAGTTCTACTTCAGTCAATGGACATCACCCATCCTCGCATTCGCCATCTTTGGCCCCTTCGGTGTCACGTCAGAAGCCCGCGCTTCGTACTGGTGCATCATTTGTACCATCTGCGGCTGACTCGACTGGAAGTCGACCTCTCACACCTCGATGTCGCCGGGTCTCGAGTATGTTGAGGTATGTTGACTCGTCTATTCACGAGGACCTGACTGGCAATGATATGGTAGGTCGAACCAAAGCTACGTCAATCCTGGCGCGCGCACGAAAGATTAGATCGTAGAGAGCGGAGATGCAAGTGCCGGCGACACCTTGCAGAACAAGGTAACGGCTCCAGATGCTCGTCGTCGTCACTGGTCGTGTTTGGTGAACGTGAGCTCGCTAGCTATCGCGTGATGGGCTTGATCCTGCAGAGAGTGTGTGAGATAATGCTACATGACGAGAACACGAAAGCGTACTCGTACCTGAGCTCTTGCCTCCAGATTGCTCAGTGTCGCTCACCCCAACCTCGTGTCCAAACTTGAACAGTGACCACGAGTGTAGCGGTAGCTCTTTCCTCCTGCTGCCCTCACACTCAAGCTCTTTACGACAGCAGCAATTTGACATCACGACTCCAAATCTCTCTATCCATGCCCTGATTGCGCCTGAAGTTTGAACGTTTGAACACACATCATCCGCCGCGCTGTACGGTACGTGGCCTCGAACAGTGATCCATCCGACTGCCTGGCGCACGGCAGGTACTGCTTAGCGATCTCAAGATAGGCTATTGCCGTGGTGCAGGATGAAGAGCAGGTGCGAAAGCCGGTGATTGTAGACGACGGTTTGTACACGACGGTTCAAGTGGGCAGAGGCGCCACGGGCATATCTGAGTTAAACGGATTCCTGCAATGTGCATCTTGGGCCGAAGCTTTATGCAAGACTTTGATTCGACATGAAGAACAGGCGTCTAGCTGCCTGGGCGGATGATAGGAACAGGTTGTTGGAGGTGCTTGCGGTGTGGTGTGGTATGGACGCAGATTCTCGGGTCCCGAACTCGCTCGCTCGAGCAACGTCGCCACCCACGCAACCTCCACGTCGTCTTGATCCTCTCTCACAACAACTTTGCGCCTGCTTCACGCCTATTCGCGTATGCGGACGAAGGGCCGATGGCTGGAAGAGATGACTCAATCGTCCGTCGTCTATGGCGAGAGAAAGGCCAACCCTCATGCGCGCGCCGTAGAGCGGGGGATGTATCTACGATCTGCTTGTTTCTATGTTTCAATCAATAGCATTGCGTGGAGTGTACGGCCGAGAGATCAATAGACACAGTGTGTGTAAGCAGATGGGTCAAGTGGCTAAGCTGCGGGCCTGCTCGTAAGCACAGGGACGATTAATCTAGAGAGATATTGCGTACCTTCGGCTGTCAGACCATGCGCAGAGGGCGTCTTGCCCTCGCCTTTCAAGCCTCATCACTCTCCCTACGGGCCCTCCTTTCGGCCACACCCGTTCCACACTATCCTTCCCAAGGCCAGTGCGAGCGCCCGTTGTACCTCGTCCCAATAAGCAGCTCCCGAACTTTGCTCGCGTGCTACGGGGCAGACGGCTATGCGAGTACGCAAGAGATAGTGCCGACAGAATCTTGTGAAACTGAGATGTCAAGAGTTGACTTTGAGGTGCGGTGGGCCGCGTGGCTATACCTCGCTCTTGTTGCTCCCTCACTCGGGAAGTTGTTGGCGAGAAGGTATCTGCCCTTTTTCGCGCACCGTGCGGGGTAGTGCGGGACGCCTGCTCGCGTCCTGTCGTTTGAGTGGTATACGATGACGTAGTTGTAGAGGCCGACGAGTGCGTTGGAGGAAGAGAGGGCAACGTCAAGCTCAGTATTGTTGGCGTCAGTCGGGCGTATGGTGGTCGAGAGCCAAGCTGCTCTGCGGACCGTCCGGGCACCTATAATTGCGCGACCTCCCACGACTGTCTCGGCCGTCTTACCTCCACGTCGCTCTCTACGAGTGACCACCAGTGCCCATCGTCTTTCTGCTTTGGAGTGGGGACGGGTTACAGTGTATACTCTCTGTGGGCAACGTCCGCGACAACTAGCTCGTGATGCGGAAGAAGCAGCGCCCGGGACACTCAAGCCTCATCCCGGCAACTATCGGACGGGTCTCGCACCAGAGAGTCTCGGTACATAGGCGTCAAAGCCATGATCATCGCCATTCGGTATGGCTCTTTCGACATATGGGTGCATTGTGTACACCCACACTCGCTGTGATAACAACATAAATGTGCGCTGAGGCGTTTTACTCAATCTTGAGACGCCTTGATCGGCTTTTGCACCATGGGCGCAGTAGACTCCACATATCCTCTCTACTCCGTCGCTTGCATCCTGGGCTCACTCGTACTGTTGATGCGCTTCGCCCGAAGGTGAGATCTCGGCATCGCGTCTTTATGCTTCCGGCTCTTGAGACCCTAATCGCCGGTGTAGGACTTTTCACGCAGTAAAGAACTCAAATCTGTCTCGATAGACGCATATATTGATTGTACCAAAAATGATTCGATGCGGACTCGATCTGGAGGCTGGCGCTCTTATATACTCGTAGCGTGAGTCTCCTACTGTACGAGCGCCTTCTAGTAGTGCTGCACTGACTGCGCAACACAGCGAGCGGACAGTCAGCGACAACACGCACGGGGTTAGGCGGCGGCGGCGGCCACTTCAGCAGCACCATGGAAGTAATCTTCTTCGCAATCGGAAATTTAACGTGGGCAGCCCGTACGAGAGCGCCGTGCTCGCTGAGGTCGTCGCGCTCGACGGCCAGCTTCACGATCGTCCGGAGCCAGAACCGCCACAGGGACCAGGTCCGTACTGCGCGAGGCCGCTGCACACGAAGGCGATAGTAATCGCTGACACCCCTGACAGCATCCTCGCCCACATCGTTAACGAAGTTAGAGAATGCGCACAACACGAAGCACGACGACGGCGCACACCAAGTTCGCGGTGCTGACGCAGTGACCAAGAATCTAACGTAGACGGGCCTATCGTTGTCGGCGGCGCCGTTGCGCACGAGTTGGTAGAACGGCGCAAGGTCATCGGGGCAAGCCACGCTGTCGAGATCGAACTTCGCAAGACCGACGTTGCCGCACGCGACGAGAAGACAGCTGACGAGTAATATATGCGCTCTTTTATACATAGAGCAGTTTGATAATGCGATCAGACGGACTAGAATACATACGCTCTGTAGTGCAGTCAATATAGTCGTCCGCGGCAGTAGCGATCGTGGACATGGCGGTCAAGAGCAAAGTGCGATTCAAGTTAGAAGAGCAGTTGCTGGTCCAATCAAGAATTCGAGCAAGAAATGCGGGCCAATGGGAGCGCTGCCCTAATCACGTGTCCGGCCCGGTGAAAGGATTCATTTGCTTCAAGGCTCAAGCGCTCAAGCCGGGCCCGGACCCGTCACGGCCGCCGTCGTAACTGGTGACTGCACTCAGCACTCAATTCCGACAGCCACAAACTGCCACAGAAGATCCATGTATGCCTCCTCGGACTTCATGGCCCATAGCGACGCTTCACTTCGTTCTGACCGTGAGGACCGCGAAAGCCGTCTGGTCTGGTCGCGACGGTTGGAGTGTTCGT